GGGGGATGGAAATGCGTCCTGTCTAAATATTAGTTTAAGAAACGGAAGGATCTACGGCCGGGCTCTGTCTGCATCTGCAACCCCGTCACCTTCTCCCGGCTCCAGCTGCCAGCTTTCGGCCACTGCTGAGCTGCGGTAATAATATATCCAGAGCTTAGCAGGGGCTGGGAGGCGAATTTCACCCCGGCGTCGAGGGAGGGAATTTCCTACTCTCGCTGTGGTCTGTACCAAGGCTTTAAAAAAACACCCTAGACCTCGGATGTCTTTATTGCACATATATGGTAGCTTGTAGCCAGCACTGATTTAAATCCCATCGTTGCTTCGGGAGCCAATCCGCAATTAGGTGCTGGGTCGAGGGCATGGTTTATGGCAGCGGGAGAAGGGGCTGACGGCTGTTGGAAGTGGTGGGAGAGTCATGGATGTGTCCCCAGGTCCTGGGTCTGGAGGCAGGATCATCTGCGGATCCCAAATTTAGAGTCCCACGTCCGTGGGTGCTCCTGGATTTAATGGTGGAAGCGGCTGAGATGCTGCATGGCAGAGGGCAGAGAAATCAAGTAGGGAAGCGGGGCGGGGGGCACCTCTGTGAAAGATTTTAGAAGGCTGGAGCACTTGGTTTTGGTATTTTTAGCTGCTGGTTTTAACTGGGCCTTTGGTTCAGACCCAAATGTACCCGCTGCAGCAGTGACTCTGGGTTGTAAAGCAGGGCTAGTGATGCTGCAGGTGAGATGTGCTCTTGGTGGTGGCAGTGCGCCCGTGTGAGCATCTTCAGCACAGCGGGGCACAGCTGCCTGACAGCTGGTGACAGGCTGCGGGCTCCTCCTGTGCCTCCATCCCCAGCAGGTCCAGGGCAGGGCTGGTGCAGGGGGGGAAATGAGATGTAGAAACATAGGAAAGTCTCAAGATTTAAAAAAGTGCTGTATGTGGGAGTGCTGGTCCAGCTGGTGTCTCGCCTGGAGGAAGGAGCAGAAGAGGCACAGTGCATCCCAGTACCGGGGATGCTGGGCTGTCCTTCCCGCTCCACAATAGGTCTGTGCTGCAGGTGCAGCTCCTTCGCAGCAGGATTTGGCACTGGGGCCAGGCCCACCCTGGGTTTCATGGCCAAGGGCAAGGGGGGAGCCCAGCACCTTCCAGGCCTCCTGGCATCTAGTCCCGGGGCTGTAAATAAGAGGAGCTGGTCCAGCCCGCTGTTACACAGCCCAGGGACATGTGCACTGCTCTGGTGTCCCGTCTGGCTGGGAGGTGGGCACCCCTGGGTGGGCCGGGGGCGTTGGGTGCTGGGGCGGAGCTGGCTGTGGCTGCACTGGGTGCCCTCCCACGGTGCAGACGTGAATCGCAGCTCCGGGCTTGGCCATCCCCCAGGGAAACACCTCTCCTTGGGCTGCTCTCCCGCGGCCCTGCCAGGCTGGGAGGGCTCCAGGACATGCTTTTCAGGCTGATTTCCACCTTTGAGGAGCTGCAAAGGAGGATATGAGATTTGCAATGTCCCACTTTTTGAGGTCCAGGTACTTTTAGTGTGGCCCTAAACGCAGCCCAGCTGGTGGCATTGCCAGAGGAGGTATCACCTTGGCTGTCCCCAGCGCAATGTGCCATGCCTGGTGCGGTGGCATTTGGCACACAGGGCGGGCAGCTTCCAATCCCAGAGAGCCCCATCCTGACACCATGACGCTTCAGGGATGGGCTTGGGGGGGGTCACAGAGAGCCATCAGCAGCCCATTGATGTCAGCCCCTTCCTACAGAGCATCTGAGGGTACCCAGCGGGGCTGAGCTCCAGTGGGGAGGGAGATGCTGAGGGGAGGAAGGCTCCAGCAGCCCCACATGGGTGCCCATCACAGCTCAAGACTGGTGTGTGTTTTACTGATGTGGTTTTTTTTTTTCCCCCTGATGCCACAGGCAATTTCATTGCTGGTCTAAGCTAAAGCACATGTGCACAATCCCACTTCCAGGACCCTTGCTAAGCCTGGTCAGGGCATGTGATCCCGCTCCAGCAGCTCCCAGGGCTCACTGTGCTTGGGGAGGGGATGAGGACCAGGATACCAGCCCCTCTGCTCCCACCGTGCCAGGCATCACTTGGCATCTCGGGAGTGCTGCCGCAGCCATGTGGCAGATCGGTTCCTCGGTCAGGGTGAGCCGTCAGCTCCAGCTGCACCACTAACTGGTTGGATTGGAGAAATTCCCCCTGACCCAGCTTTTTCTGGCATTTGACCAGTTTGGAGTAGTCTTTCCCCATTAAACTTGGAGGAGAGGAAGAGAAACCCAAACTTGCTCCCTCCCAGTTGTGTCAGGCATGGTGCAGAGATGCTCTCGTGTGAAGGAGCATCCCAGGAGCGCAGGAACGAAGCAACCCCCTCTGCAATCGGCCTGGGACGGGAAATGCCACCAGCAGTCTCATTCCCGTTGCTTCTTTGTCACGAAACCCAAAACAGCCTCACTTTGTAACTCAGCATCCAAAGAGCCAAATTAAAACAATCTATTTGCCACCACGTTGTTCTTGAATGACAACAAAAAAGCATTTCCATCCGCGGCTCTTCAAAGGCTGTGTTGCCAGCATGTCAGGCCCCTAATGAGAAATGCCAGTCCTGAAGTGTTTTGATTTTGATGGAACCACATTTTTTGTATTTTTTTTTGGTTGGTTTTTGGTTTTGGTTTTTTTTTTTCCCCAGCAGAAAAGGTTTCCTTTGAACTTTGTCCAAACCCAGTGTGTAAGTGGATGGATGGTGGCTGCCAGGAGGGAGGCAGGGCAGCCCTCGCTCCGAGGGGCCAGAATCACTGCACAGCCCAAGAGGGGAAGTTCTTCCTTTAGCATCACTCCCAGGCTGTGATAATCCAGGGCAGGAATTGCATTTTACTCTATTTCAGCACGTTTTTTAGCAGCACAGGAACCTGTCTGCGTGGTGCTCAGGGCAGGATAAATCCCCTCCGTGAGCTCTCCTGCGCGATGCCTGGTGCTGAGCAAGGAGATCACTCATGAGCGGGGTCCAGACTCATGGGGTTTGCTGTAAGGGGGCTCTGCATTTAGGGAACCCCTCGATTTCCTCGTGGCTTGATTTTTCCAGCTGCAGCAGAGGGGTGAGATGGTTGTAAGCCCACCCCTGCTTCTTTCCAGGGAGAAAAATGTGTCCCCAGAGGAACCAAATGAATGCCAATTTTCAAAGCCTATTTAAAGCAAGGAAATAGGCTGGGGTTTGGGGATGGAGAGAGCAAACGGGCATTGTCGGGGGCTGGGGAGGGCTGGCAGCCCACCACCCTGCTGTCTACAGGTCATGACAGCTCCAGGGGCAGCCAGGCATGAACAAATGCATTTTGGTCAAGTCTCAGGGGTTTTGCCCCGTCTTTCCTGTTTCTGGCCCTTGTTCCCCGCAGCAGAGCTGTTTGCAAAGCCACCGAGCGCTGGCATTGCTGGCTGGATCGGGGGCTTCTGCACAGCTTGTGGTGCCTTTTTTGTCTTTAATAATATTGGTTTTGGCTGTGCTGTGATGGAGCTGTCTGGGAGCATGGGATGTATTTATTGCTGGCTGTGTTGCTCCCTGACCCTTCCCTATAAAACACTGGAGCTGTTGGATGTGCTGAAGGCAGCTGGTGGCTGAGGACCTCTTGGCACTGTAAAATGGGGCAAAGCCCCTGGCCCTCCTGCCCCAGCAGCCTCGTCCTGCACTCCCAGAGCAGAGCAGGGTCAGCTCATCCCTGTGCCAGGGGGCTGCAAGCCAAAATCCCTAATCCCCCTGGGGTCCATCCCAGTGGTTGTGGTCCCTGAGCAGCTCTGGGCTGCAGTCAGCAGAGCTGTGCCAGGAGGAATGGGCAGAGGATGGTCCCAGCAAGGTGTTGGGGCAGCCTTTTGGGCTCTCCCTGGGGTTTTCCCTCTCTGCTGCCTTCCCTGTGACAGGCAGAGATGCCGTGCAGTTGTGCAACACAGGGGGACTAAAGCCAGCCAGAACCTTGGGTATGAACGAAAGCATCTTCATCCCCTCGAGCAGGTGCTGCATGCCACCCGGGGACACCAGTCCCATCCCTCCAGGATGTCCTGAAGGAAAGCCTCGCCTCTGATTTAATAGGGCAGCTGCTGTCTTCGTTAAGTGGTGCTGGCTTATTAAGAGCACATTTTTGAGGCTTAGCAGCTCCGCGGAGCCGACTAGGAGGGATGGTGCCAGTGGTGGAGCTGCCACACATGTCGGGAGGCAGCTGCTGGCAGCGATGCTCCGCCGAGTGGGCTGGGTGCCAGTGACATCAGCCCAAAATGGGGGGGGACACATGACTGTTTAGTACCCCAAGTCTAGGGGGGCAAAGAAGAGGCTGGAAGGACCCAGCCAGGATTTGGGCGGCATGAGCCGTCTGAGCATAGGCAGAGGGAAGACATGTAGGCACAAGGGGATAGTGATGACCGTCTGTGCCCTGGGAAAGCATCGCTTGTGGAAGGATCTCCCCATCAGAGGATTGACGGGGAGCAGACGGGGTCCAGCCCCCGACCTGTCTCCAAGAGTACCTCTGAGGATGATTGATCTTTTGTGTCCCCCAGTGCTGTGGTGGGACGGGTTACACCGGCCATGGGTGATGGAGGAGAGGTGGCATCAGCACACCAGCCCGGGGCTCCCCGCCGGGATGGGGACAAAAGCGGGGTGTGGGGTGGGCTGTGCCTGCTGGCTCTGCTCCCGCAGGCAACAGGAGAGGGGATGCGCAGCAATCCATCTTCTTGCTGGAGCTT